TTATTAGATTTTGAGACATTTGTTTAGACACTGACAGTATAAGTACAGCCAAGAACCATGGAGAGCAATAATACGCAAAATGAGCCCGCACTGGAGTTGCACCAGGGACACTACACTTATTGTATAAGGTACACACAAAGTTCACAGGTAACTGCAACCCACAGTAACAATTTGATCTTGCTACCACTTCACAAATTATATATGAAACTAGAATTCTGATATGAACAGTATAATATCTGGATTCCCATGGTCACTGGCAGTCAGATACCACAAAGTAGATTTCTCTTTTTATCTGAGAGACTGTACATCGCTTTGCACTGTTCAGGGTGTGGACTACAAGCAACATCTCCACTCTTTTTCTTTCTTCAAGTGGACAAAAAGGACAGAAACAGAAGAATTTTCTGGAGAGAGGAAAAACACTGCCATTACAGACCTGGACCAGAACATGCTGATGGTAATATGACTTACCAACTCAAAAATGATGAATTACTCTTTAACCCAAAAAGCAAAGTAAGTTTTGAATCTGCATTTTAAGTGTGTGTAAACACACACAATATTGGGACAGAGTTCCTAATCATTGTTTACTCACTACAGTACAGCCAGTTAGTAACGGCTGTACTTTCATTAAAGGTCACTATTCTATCAGTCTATATCTCCAAAAAGGCAGCGATCCACTTCTACTGCTGTTGGGGAAAAAGTGAGATTAAACTGACCCAGAGGACAGCGAGCTGCTGCTGTGTTAATAACAAATCCCCAAAAAACAAAAACACCAACAAAAAAAACTAACTCATTACAAAGCCTCAGTAAAGAGACACAAACAAATACACATGCTTATGAGTCAGTAACTGCCTCATTGCCTAGAACAGCAAAGAACCATTTATGGGGAATTCACATCAAAAGTGAATATAACTGAATATGTTCTGAACTAAAGGTCAGAGAGGATATCTGAACAGTGGTAGCATTAGCCTCATTGCATTATCATGCAATATGCAGAAATTCCACTTTAATGCCACATAATGATGGATACCATCTCAGCTATCAGCAGAAAGCCTTTAAATGGGCCTGTGAGCAACAGGTTCCATCTTTAATGCACTGGCTATTAATGGAGTGTAGGGTGTGGTGCAGCAGGGAGCCAGTGGTAATCAATTTCCTGCTGCTGTAATCATGGGTCTCTGTAAGTTAATTAGCATCTGTTGAGTGTAACAGAGAGATGTCTGCAGAGAGGAAAAGGTAGTTAAAAGCAGCACAGGGAGCGTGACACAGGCTGTGGCACTGTGGCCTCGTGTTAGGGCTGTTAGATTAAGGCCAACATGAGTCATTACGTGACAGAACTAATGGTGCATTTGATACATGTTTGTGATGATGGTGATACTGTGAGATCCAATCAGTATCACAAATGCCCCGCTCTCTCTCATCTGTCTTATTAACCTGCTCAAGATACTCCCAATAGTACAGAGAGGGCTCTAAAGCATAAAACCTTATCTACAAAGTGGATGAACACCACGCATTCTCCATTACAAGTATATTCAAGAGACCGGAGAGCAGGAGGAAAATGTAACATGATACACAAGGAAGACAACAACAGTGGTACCAAGTGGTTACTAGTTTGTTGATGTCACAGGCTGACTGGAGGAGACCCAGTGCAGACAGCCAGACACAGAGTTGGGAGTCAAACCATCTAAAATGCATCAAAAAGATAGATACGCAAAATGATTATTGATTGGCTGGTAAAACAACCAAATTACCACAGCAGATGCTTTTAATAGAAAGAAGAGGAAGGCCACACATGTTATTCTACTATTACATTTATGCTCTTTTGCTGCTGAAGCCGTGAATAGTAGATTTTCACTTTTAAATATTTCCTGAGAACTGTAAGGAACTCTTGTGATATTATATCATCCAGTATATGTGATACAATGAAACTCTCCAGGCCAGGTACCAAACTGGCCTTGTGGTGACAACTGCTGTTTCCTTCATTCTAACCTTAGCTTTTACACCAATTTAGATTAGAAATCATAAAGGTTCTCCAAGAGAAAAATGGAAATCTGACAACTGGGCAACTTCATCTGCTGAGGAAGATGATGAAAGATTGTTTTCTGGACTCGCCAGTGATTCTGCTACAGTATGATAAACTGCACCAGTGTCGTCTGTCAGTCTGGAACCCATGTATTATGTTGCCCCCATCTAATCTTTTACTGTATAACCAAACCATGTCTGCACTTCCACAGCTGTTCTCTTCTTTGGAATCAGCTCTCCCATAGTGGAGCAATTTCTCTTTCAACTCGATCTGTTGCTACTGAACTTTGCCATGGTGTAAACGTGTCAACTTGTCACAATACTAGAGATGCAATTTTCAATTATTATTATTTTTTTTTGCCTGCCGTGCTGATTCTGATTTTGGTCAATTCCAAATTTCTTTCTTTCTAAGAACTGTAACTGACAAGCATATACAGACATTTCTGTAACTTTTCTTTAATGAAAAATTACATTGCAATAAAATAAAACATTGTATTAAGGTTTTTCATTTTCTATCTTTCTCTCACTCACTGCAGTATTTGTACTTCTCCAAATATAGACAGGTGCAGCAGGTCTGTTACATCAGTCCTACTGAGCACACAGTTCTTTTTGACGTGTGTGTAGTTTGTATTTGCTGTGTTCTACCACCAGTTAGATACACTGTGCATATGCATTTCATGCAGAGCCAGTAATTTCCGTCACTGGGTACCATTTGTTAGAGATTTGGACATAGTTTTCCCTTCTCCATGGTGTTTCTATAGGCTCCTCTGAGTGTTGTTTGTACACAAAGCACTTCCAACATGCAAGTGAACACACACCCGGTGTGAGAGGCAGACAAAATGGAACACTCTGCACATGCATATGCTTCTGGGCAGCGCCACTGCGTGTGTGACATGAACTGTAAGGGCTCTAAATCTGACCGGTACAGAATCAGAAATCTCAGAGCGATCAGCATGTCCCTGGCCATTTCTGATCACCACTGATCAATCAATTCATCTCTACAGATGTGCCAACCATACTGTAAACCTAGAGATAAAAGAAAGAGGAAAAGAACAAAAGCTCCTGTGGAACGGAGCTTTTTGTGACATGTGGCATTTTGATCTGTCAAAGCAGAAAAACAGGTGTAATTTATAACATTGATAACAACTACACTTTGTTCTGGTGTACCAGATGTAGGGCCATGATTCTGTGCACACTGGCTCACTGGGATGGGACGCATAATGGAACCGAGAAATCATTAATGTTAATAGTTACACCTGCGCTTCTCCTCGTTACGATTTGTCATGATGTTCCTGTTATGTCAAAATGTCTGCCAGAAAAAGCTCGAAGGCTTCTGTTGAAGCAGAGTTAATGACTCCACGTGTCACTGCTTGCCATTATCTCTGTTTCATGTATTTTTAGTCACAGTTGTGTTATACTGTAATGCTGTAAATGTAATTTATTTTGCTAATCTTGTTTATAATATATTATAAAGGTTTCATATAATGCATTACACTAGCTTGATACACTTTGTAGGTAGCACAAATGGGCTCTCTGGAGCCTTGAAGACATATTCAATATTCAAAAGATTTGGGGTTTTTAAAAAACATTTACAAATACTATGCCCAACATTTGTCTGCTGTATCCTCCCTGTGGTAGGTGGATCTGTAATAAAATCTTCTAAAATACCACCTGCTCTATTTGGTAAACTGTGCTTTATGCATGTTATATTAAAAAAAGAGCTTTTAACTACCACAGCAAATGGCTCTGTAACAATGCTGGTTGTGAATAATTTGTTAAATACACCATATTGGCGGCTTTGCTACATGTAGCTTCATTGTTTTCGTGACTCATGGAGCTTTATACAATACTCTTGCAGCTTAACTGCTTCTTTTTTTGTTGTTTTTAGTGTTTTTGGAGCTCATTACCATAAATATAGTTATAGAAAACCATAATATCATTATGTTGTTACCAGGGATAAATGTCTGGTTGGAGCCAAAAGTGCTGGTTTGTGTCCCAGCCATTACAGGAGAGAGTACAAGTTCCACACTGTGAAGATTGCTGTAGATAACCCTTAAAGCAATGCCATGCTTCTGGTTTTGTGGTGGTTTACTTACTGTGCTTCAAAGGTTTACTATTTTTAAAAATACACTTGATTTGATTTCTTGTCAAAAGGTAAGCTCAAGATCAAGCTCAACACAAAGGCTGAAAGCAAGGGGAGGCAGCTAGTCTGGCTCTGTCCAAAAATAACAGTCCACCTTTAAAGCTCATGAATGTGCTGACTGTTTCTTGAATTGAACCAGTTAGTTGCAGAACTTGCCAGGCACCTGATCCCAGCCATTTCCCACTGTTTTACCTAAGCTAAGCTAACTTCATATTTACCATGTAGACATTCTAACAGTCTTCTCATGTACTCCTGCTAAGAAAGCAAGATGTTCCAAAGTGTCAAAAGATCCTTTTAACAAATACAGTACAAACATTTAAAATATAACTTTATCGATTTTATATTTAGCACTGTATTTAAAAAAAAAAGTCATAAGTCGAGTGTTCACTGGAGCACAGCAAAGGCAAACTGCTCAGAGAGTAATTGTACTTTAAAGACAACAGTAATGCACAAGCTTAAAAAAAACATGGTCTAAAGCAGAAGTCCATGCAATAGACCTCACACAGACAAATAGAGGGCTCTGATCCACTGCCAAAATGTTGTTTATTTATTAATCAATTTTATGGTTACTACAGGCGAGACTGAGCCCATGATGGGATTAGTAATACGGTAGACAACCTTTAAATTATACAGTAGTAAAGTCAAACAGTTTCAAATGTTCCCAAGCAGAATCTGAGGAACTCTTTTATTAATTGCCAGTTTATCCACAGAGTGTTGCTACAGCACCACCCTTCTTCACATTCACACATTTGAGAAGAAGGAAACATTTACTTTCCCAAGACACATTTTTTCACTTGCTTCTCTAGCCACTTGGCTAGACAGGAAAGGCTATTAAACTCACCGTCTACACAGGCTGGCCTCGCCCTGGTGGTCCCGGCGATCTGGCCTCTTCGGCAGGCGCAGCGGGCTGTCTGCCTGGCGATAGTCCGTCTGGGAACGCTGCTGTCTCTGTTGAGCATCACTATCTCACAGGTTCCCACGGCCAACTGGCCTGCCAAACACAGCAACAAGGAACAAAGTACATCACATTAGCATAATGAGACTGTAATGATCATATTACAGAGGAGTAACTGGAGTTTGAAGGTGCTAACAGCAAGCAGCCTGGACTGCAGAGCCTTTGTTTTGGTTCTGTGTAGCAGTGAATAGATTAATTCTATAATCTCATATGGCTGGCTGTTCCTCTAATAAAAGTGTCTTATCATGTGGAGAAAAATAAGGTTCCCAAACTGGAGGGCATTAAACCAGGGGTGGTGCAGGATGCACTGACATGCACGGTGGTGGGGGTGGGAGCTGCAGAAACAGTTTGGGGACCACTGTCCTAAGAATTAGTTTTCAAAAGTGCAAATTAACAAACAAAGGAACAATACGAAGCCATTTTGCACTGTGAACATGAATGAGTTAAGCCAGTTACACAGTAATCAGCGCATTACATTATGAAAAACAGCTCTGGAATAAATAAAGACATATGTCTGTCAGAAGCAAGAAACAAGTTGCCAAGGTTATCACATGGAAACGTGCTGGTGCATAGGTTCGGGTGGTGAATAGGTCAACAAAACATGCGACTTTAACTGTTTATTTCTTGTGTTTTTACACATAAAGCCAAGCAAACCTTAACCAGAGTGAAAATAGGGCCGAAAACAGTCGTATATGAATAATTATTGTAGTGTTTACTGTATATGCAGTTTGTCACCAATAGTGGTACCAGATAACAAAGCACTAACATGTCTGTTTGGAAGGCAGTGACAAACTGCACGTCTTGGTTTTTAGTTTGAAGGACTTGCCCTGTGTGTACAGATGATAGATTGGTCTCAAATTCACCTCTAGTGCCACCAGCTGGCTGACATAAGTGGCTTTGATTGAAATGTCTGAATACAGTTACCATGAAATTTGGTACAGACACTCTTCTCATTCTGAGAAACGTCTCCCAGGATGAACCGCTATCTTTGGGCAATCACCTGACACTTTATTAAGCACCAGCATCAGATCGACATTTCAATTTGTTCAGTGTTTTGTTTCATGACTAAAAACCTGAAAAACCAATAATATTCCCATCATGTGTATTGTGGTTAGTTTGAAATACATGTAAAAAGTAAATGAAACCCCTAATTATTGGGAATCAATTTCTGTATTTTGTGTAAAGGTGAGACACACATAGTGTTTTCTCTAGCTAACTGTGGCTGTGCTCCTTATTTACTCCCGGTCCCGGACATTAGTGCTGCACAGTGGTTTCTTGCATTTTTCGTTCATTAATACTGACAAGCATCAAATTTTGACTCTGCCAGGGGTGAGCAGTGCCAACCCTGGATGAATTTATGCTCAGTGCAGCCAGCTTACATGAAGTCAAAGCTATTCAGTGCCTGGACTTACACCTCACTAATTAATACCCCAACATGGTGTTTGAGAGCAGGATGTTCACTTTTACATTTCTGCAAAATTATATTTTAAAAACTACAAGTTGACTAAAGAATCAGTTAACGGTTTAAGTAATGTGTGACGTGGTTGACACGGCAGTGGTTGCTGAGCACCGGGCTCCTACCACAGACCCATTTTCAAGCCAAGTTAAGCACAACTCAGATGGCATTTGGCACCGTGCCTTAAATGACGATTACCTTGCTCAGAATTATAGTTCTCCAGACATTATATTGATGGCAGCCTGGGCAGGAAGCTGTGATGAAGCAGGTTTCTAAATTTAAAGTTTGTCAGAATGTGATGTCTATATTAATTACACAAATTGGAAGAGACACACAAGGGTGTTTCAATGAGTTTATTTAAGATTTTCTTACAGCAGGAGAAGGATTTCGGCTGTAAGTCTGAGCTCAGCACTCAAACATTCACAAACTGTTTAAGGTGAAGCGATGTGCTTTGCACCCAGAATGGCAGGTGTAACTCATCTGATCATTTCTAATGAGTCATGCTGAAAAGTTTACAAGCACCATGGGCAAAAGAAAAGTTATAGCAATGCTGTTTTCAGTGTCTGTGTATTAAATGAACTCTCTGCGTAGCCTTTTTGGATGACAATTTCACTTAACGTTGAGGTAGCAGTTTTGTTTGGGTAAATTATGTGAAAACCTGAGGGAACATTTTTAATTGTCTTTTATTTAGGCCTTCCTACTGTGTTTGATGGAATTACTAACCGTTAACAGGCTTGTGTTTCATAGATAAACAAGCTTTAATCACAGTAGATTGCTTGAGGGTCTCTGCTACTTCCAAAAACACATTTGGAAAAACAAATGTTTCAATATGTAGATGACGCATCTGTCATAAAAACAAAGCGAGTGGGTTTTTTTTTTTCAGCTTCAAATGAGTAAACTGAAAATATAAAAATACACAGCTGAACTAACAATATTAATGTCAATGCAAATCTGACTCAGCTTGAACTGCATTTCTTAATAAGTGTAATAAATAATATGAATATGATAAACTCAAAAAAGCAAAGGAAACTTTCTTCACCTTTGTAAATGCAATAAAAAAGTAACTGTTTCTCCTTCCTTCCTTTGTCAGATGGAAAGCTGCCAGTAAAAGCCATTCAGGCTGACACAGAAATAAAATCAGCTCAGCAAAGGTAGATTAGAGAACCTGTGCTGCGGCTCCTGTAAGGTCAAACCCTGGCCTTCACTGCTTTATACTGCTGCTTCTAGTCACTTCTAAACACCCTCAAAGGTTCATTAAGTGAGATGTTAACTGCTCTATAGCATGAAATGATTGAGTATATATTAATAGTATGATAATTATAGCATAGTACTAATGGTAAAGGTTGAAAGGGTTGTTGATCAACACAAATGACTCATAAAATTACTTCAGCCGGCACCGAGACGTTCAAATTTCAGAAGCTACTAAGGTCGAGAGCAAGGCACATGGGAAATACTGCATTTAGCAATATAATAAAACCAAAATGTTAATGTTTACTGCATGTCTATTGCTGTAGTTTGTGGCAATTTTCAAAGAATTATTTAAGAACATGCACAAAAACTGCAGGATAAAATGGAGGGACAGTTTTAAAAAGTAAACCTGGGCCCGTACTGCTTAAAGTAAGATTTTGAACTGAAGTGAAATATAAAAGCAAAAATCCTTCATTTTTACACCTACTGACAAACTTAGGAATAAAAACAAATTTATCAACTATTTGACTTAAAAATGCTCTTAAAGTTAATGGAGCTCCAGAAGTCTACCATCACTCTAATGCTTAATAATTAACATGGAGTTCACAATTTTACAGGGGGTTATGTGTCAGACTATTTCATGGCTCTGAGTAGTTGCCAGGCAACCAGCAGAGACTCCAAGAAGTTAATAATCTCCTCCTGTACTGTAAGGCTTTGTCGCAAAGTGAACAAGTTGAACAGTCAGTGATTCAGCTCACATAATGCTTGAGAATTGGATCTTCTCTAACAAATCAGTAGATCAAATTAGTACAAATCAAATGACACATGAACCTGCAGCTTTCAGGTTCCCGGGGAGCATGGCCTGTTAGCCTGCTTTGTCGAGTCCGTAATCCAGCTTCGCTCCAGACCTACTGCATGCCAATTATTTCCACAGAAATTCAGGGTCTCAGAGAACGGATCCTTGTCAGGTTACATTTCCTCTTGTACAACACTTTGGCCTAACAAGCTATGTATGTTGAAATCTAACCTCCCTAAACTTTGCTGTAACTATTCATAGTTCCCAGAGGAAGGATCTTTATGTTGTTGGATCGCACACACAGACTATCAAATCTACATAGAGTATTTTCTAGTGATCTCTTCCCAGGTTTGAGACTTTTCCTTGTAAGTAACTGCACTTAACATCAAACTATTGCCAAGTTTGCATCTCAGTTAAGGTGATTACCGAGTGGCAGCTGCGCTTTGTGATTAAGGCTGGTGTAGTTATGCATAACATTTTTACCTGGACCAGTGTTGGGTGTCATAGAACACAACTAACTCTACAGAGAAGTGCAATGCACATTTCATGTCCTAACATTACAGCACATTACAGCAGCTGGACTGCCCACCCTCCCCCATCCAGCACCACCACCACTCAGCCCACCCTCCACTCTCTGAGGCCAGTTCCTCTTTACTTGGTGGGTGCTTGGAGGACAGAGGTGCCATGTTTCAGCACTGAACAGATGAATGGGCTTCATGCAATTAGCCTAGAGGAGGAGAGTAGTAAGACGGAAGGGGGAGCTGAAGCGGGGCGTTGTGTACTGTGTGGGAGGTTGCTTTGAAAAGTGCCCTCAGCCACGGCCAGCCCTCCATCATACATACAGACATTAATTCATGTGGCAGGGGGTTTCTGTCACTCAGCAGTGTGAAGACACACAGCATCGTCTTCATTTCACATGGTGAAATGTGCATGCAGCTGTGGCGGCAGGGATCGTGTCGAGTGGAGGATGGCTGCGCGTTACTGTCCAGGCTCTAGATCCTGTCAGAAATGACAGGGCTACAGGAAGCCAATACAGAGCACACAGACTGGCTTTCAGCACTGACTAGCAGCCTGATGACCTTATCACTGAATCACATCACTACACAAATGGTAGCGCACATACACACGGGGGCTCAAACACATATACTGTAGCTTAGAACAAAGATACGAGTCTGTGCTCTACAGTACATATCAGGGCTCTGATCAGACACAGTGCAGACCACGAAGTACAGGAGCACACATATCTTAATATCTCTGCCTGAAATAAGCTGCAAGGAGAATACACTTGCTTTCATTCTGTTCCCCTGATTTAATGTGTGTCATTGCAGGACTGAGAACCTGAGAGCATGATTAGGCTATTAAATTCGAGATACACGACACTGGTTGACCCAGGCAACGTTCAGTCAGTATAGTAAACCACCAATTATCTTTCCTGTTAACATCACAATCTATTCCAGTTAGTTACAGTTCCTTATCATCCTCAGACAGTTGTACTTACCAATGAAACGTTCACTTCATTCTAGCTTATCTCGCTTGTTTTCCCTTTTAATTAAGACAGTGCAGATACATCAGTGGTTAGTCCTAACTGATAAGACA